AATAGGCAACTTTGCAATATTTCACAAGAACCTAGGCAACTGCAAGCCACTGTGGCAAGAGCTAATAACCAAACAGATGACAAGTTTGTTAAAATGACTCAATAGTCAGAGTATAGAAAGTCTTTTTGCAAAATTGCAAATTAAACAGGGCTTGTTACAGACAGGGATTGTCAAGAACATTAAAGACAGTTTCAAAGATAGTAGGCTGAAAAGATTGTGGAGAAATAATCTAGCCTGTACAACTCTATGGAATATAGCAGAGTCCAACCTCTACATCGATCTTGATGAGTCAGAGTGGGTGATACATGGTTTTGGCAAAACTATCAGAGAGATTATCGGCTCTAGTTTAATGACACAAGATTTTAAAAGTCTGCAAAAGTTAGGCGTATTCTACATATATCAATTAATCAACTCGGAAGGTTCAGAAATGATTATATGGAAGCAGATGAAGGTTTTGAGAAATATGCCAAGTAAAGGCAGAAAGACAAAATGGTTTCAAAGCTTAGAAAATATACTGCTAGTAGACCCACTCAAAAGGGATCTTCAAAAAGAATGGTGACTCAGCAGCAGTAACGGTCTAGCAATGAAGATTTGGCTGTCTAACCTCTCCTCTGATAAGAGAAAAAGAGAATATATACTAATAGACAATAAAGATGACACACACAATGCTATTGAGATAGGCAGAGTTGTCAAGAAATCTAGGAAAGAAATATGGGTTGATATAGGCACACCAACAAGTTCAGTAAATGATCAGAAAAATATTAGAAGAGTGCGGAAAAATCTAATAGTAGGAGCCCTGCCTAAGAATCTAATCAAAAATGGAGAGATAATAATAGACGAAGAGGAGATGATATTCAGAAAATCTAAAGAGGCAAGAGCAAATAGATTCCAAAATGAAGAAAGGCTAGTAGGCATCAAGACAATTGACTCTCTTGAGATAGAGCTAATCAGAAAGCAGATTGAGAATCTAGAAATAGCAGATGAGTTATGTAAAAAAGTGATAAACAATATTAATAGTAGAGAAGAAAATTTTGTAATATATACAGATGGCTCACTAATAAGTACATCAGATAGTATAGATAATAGTAGCAAGATGGGCACAGGCTGGGTTCAAGTAAATATAGAGGAAACTAAAATAATAGATAAAGGTTATGTAGGACTTCGTGACTGGTCATCTTCTACTAAGCCAGAGCTATACGCTTTCTGGCTAGCATTATTAACAGTACCAGCTAGGAAAAAGGTTAAAATTGCATCAGACAGTGCCGCTGCTTTATCAATCGTTAAGAGATATCTTGGAAAGTCAAGCTCAGAAGACTGGTACAAGTTTAAGAATATAGAAATAGCCTTAGCAATAGCAGATTTGTGCAGAATAAAAGAAATCAACTTATTATTGTCCAAGGTTAAAGCCTATACAAACAGCAAATAGAATAATATAGCAGATGCACTAGCAAAAGATGGTGCAAATTCAGACAAAATCCTGATACATAATCCTCATCTAAGCTCAAGAATCCCATCCAAGCTATACTGGAACAACACTTGTATAGAGCCAGAGCCCAGAAGCTTTATAAGCTATGTCTTCAATAAGAAAACTAAAGCAAAATGGCGGTCCTCAGGTGCAGTAGAACTACTCGAAAACTACGAAGTAGATACAAACTACAATTAGGAGATCTTCTGGAAAAGACTTAAAAACCAGTTGGGTATAAAATGCGACTTAACAAGGAAAAGTAAAAAGCTGAGTATGCTAATCAAATGCATCCAAGATCGACTTCCCACGCTTGAATTTTTACATAGACAAAAGCCCAATCTCTACGTATCTCCGAATTGCATAGGTTGCAACATAGCACCAGAAACTTTGGAACACTTAGCAACCTGCAGTATACACGAAGAAAGTTGGAAAACAATAGAGAAGATGACAGTTAATGCATTATGGACAATAGTCATAGAGGAGAAGACACATATATCTACTAAGACAGAGTTGGCAGAAATTATTCTAGGCCAAAGTCCAGATGAAATTAAAAGAAGAAGAGTAGAAGCAATTAAAGGGTTATCATGTAAAGAAGCACTCCATAAAATGTATATAAGGATGGGGTCACATACGGTCTCAAGACAGCTCCTCGAAGATGCTACCTTTTTACTTTGGAATGGTTTCTATGAAATAGTTTGGAAATTTAAATGTGAGAAAGTAGTTGATTGGGAAGAAAACCAAGGTATTAGAAGACAAATTAAGAGGGCCAAAGCAAGCAAAGAGAAGACTTCATCACGAACAAAGCCATTAGGGTTAGAAAAGAAGAGAGGTAGAGAGACACAGCTAAAAGGTAAAGATGTAGCAAATACTTAGGCAGAAAGTAGTACTATAAGTGTTGAGAAAACTGCGAAGAAAGAGGACAAAGACAAGAGAATCAGAGAACTCTAGAGAAAAGCGATCGAATTATACATATCGAGAAAAAGGAAGCCCTTTTGGTATGGTGCTTAGGTTATTCGATATAGCCTATTAGTAGTATATACTAATGCGGCAGGTCACATTTGAATATTAATATAATATTGGAATGATGCCAGACTTAGTAATTAAGTAGATAACTTATATAGTTTTAAACACATATTAAACTTAATAAAGTACTAGCGGGATCACCTAAGTTAAAAAAAAAAAAAAAAAAAAAAAAAAAAATTATTTGAATATTAAACTATAAACTTTCTTTATTTTTGAATAAATAACAAATATAAACTGATTACTAAACCTGTTATAGCAAAATTTTGGCATGTTAAAATTATACATAAAACTCAAATAAAAGCTAATTACTCGAATTATAATAGTTGAATTTGAACAAAGCCAATTGAATTAGCTGAATTTTTGATGCTAAATTTATAATAATATCTCAATTAAAAAAAAAAAAAATTTCAAAACTTTGAACATGCCTTAATTAAACCTTGAACAGAAGTAATTATCCAAAATTAAATTAATTTGAATTTATACCTTAATTAAACCTCAAACAAATAGAGTGCTCCCTTTCTGCAAAAGAACAAATTAGAATTGCAGAAACCCCATCATACACTTCACTTATAGACATTAATGATGAATGGGATAAAATTAGTAGCTCAATAATGAGTGCAGCATTAAAACATATACCTTG